CTCTGAATTCTGGGGGCTTAAGAGCATGGAGCCTGCATTGGCTCAGCTCTGTGAGGGCTTTGGCAGGAACTCATCCCAGCGAGTGGGCCGTGGAAGAGGCAGACCACAGGACAAGACAGGGAGCCAGGTTCCAGGGTCAAGTTTGCGCTTTCGCAAGAACTCTCGCTGTCAAGAAAGCCACTCACTAAGGACCCCACGTGAATATTGGTTCCTCCGGGAAGCATAACCCCAATGACTCCAGAACTTCTCGCTAGGCTCCACCTCTCGAAGGTCCCACTACTTCTTACACTGTCACACCGGTACTGAACTTTAAACACACACAACTTGATGGACAAACCATGGCAACCAGAAACCAGGGAGCAAGTGCAGGGTGTGGATCCTACGTGGCTCCCCGTGATGTAGGCACTGACCTTATTATGAAAGTCCAGTCCACGAGCTGAACTAGCCAGCCATGAGCATGTTGCAGGGAGCCCTACCGCAGGTCCCCTGAGCAGGGCAATGGCCAGCTTGACTCGATACCCGTAAATCAGGGCAGAGACATGCAAAGCCTCTTACAGATGGAAATGAAGGTCTCCTGGACTTGCACAGTGGGAGTGTCACCTGATGGGTATGTGAATACCCTGGACTGTGACGTGGCAACTGTCATTTCAGAAACCCTGCTAGGAAATGGAGGACTGATACCCTCAGAGTGCAAAGTGGCTGGACTTGGGACACAGGCACCAGGCCTTCCGGGGAACAGGCTGATGGCAGGGGAAAGGCCCACTGGGTAGCGGAAGTGCTGTGAGGCAGGTAAAATGGACGCGGGACTCAAATACAACAGACTGATTCAGCTCCAGCCTTTTTCCGTCCCCCGAAGCATGATAGCATTTACATTTTAGAGAGAAAAAGCAGAGGAGAGGCAAAGGATGCCTCTCTTCCAAGGGAAGAGGTCAGGCTCTCTGATTGACGCTTCCCATGCGGAAAGAATGAGGACAGGCTCTGCTTGGAGGCCAGAGCCATGAGCCTTTACGGTTTCATAATCCTGGGGCGGGGGAGGGGCAAAGGATAACATCCTTCCTGTTCGCCCACTCATTCACTGAGACGTTTCTGAGACAAACACTAGATTCTGAGGATGCAAAAGTAAATGTTCACAGACTGTCCAACTGAAAACTGTAGCATCCTGGATCTGTGTAATCCACAATGCAGTTGAACAGTGTTCCCTGGCAGCCTCCCTGGGCAGGAAGTGCTTACGGAAGATGCCAAGGCACAGCCATGGCAAGGCTGACCATGCTGAACCAGAGACTGGGAAGAGAGCAGAGCTCCAGCCATGGGGGCAGTCTGGAACCTCAGCAACACAGGTTCTTGACAGAGACTATTAGAGCGAAAAAATAGCCCCGGTTAGGCTACAGGTGCAGCCAGAATAGTCACTTAGCTGAAGATATCATTGAGCTTAAGCTAGGTAAGACCTCATTAGTCGGACGTCTGAGATGCCCGCAGAGGCGTGAGAAATTGCCTTAGACCACACCTCTCTGGACTATGGACCACTGCCCTCCAGCAGCAGAAAGATGAGCCCAGCCTGAGCCACAAAATTTGGTGTTAAAAATACAAAGTATGGCCGGACGGTAGTGGCGCACGCCTTTAATCCCAGCACTCGGGAGGCAGAGGCAGGCAGATCTATGTGAGTTCAAGACCTGTCTGGTCTGCATGAGCTAGTTCCAGGACAGCCTCCAAAGAACCAGAGAAACCCTGTCTCGGAAACCAAAAAACGAATGAATACCCAAGAGGTAGTGATCCAGGTCAGAGGTAGAGGCCCTAGGTTCAATCCTTAGTAACCATCCCACATACACACAATGGGGACCAGTCCAACATGCTGTACCTTCCCAGGACAACCCTGCTCCTGTGTCTTTGTGCTGATGGCAGCAGCTGAGTACAGGAAAGCCCCTTCCCTCAGTCTCTGCTCACATCCTGCACTGGGACCACAGATCCAGGCCAGAATCTTCCTTCCTCACTAAGTGAGCACTGTTCCCTCAGGGGAGGGGACACCTATGCATCTACTCCATTGAACTACCTCCCATCCCAGGTACACAGCAGGATCCAACCAGTTTCCTAGAGTCCGAGCCTCTTTGGATAGTTGCATCCCCACTTAGATCTCTCTAGTTGATGTTTGCCCAAAGGTGTTGGGATTTGAGCACAAACCGGCCAGAGCCAGCCTTGCCTGGCTTTGCTTCCCACATGCGTCCATTCTTTCAGACACGAGCGTCCATTCTTTCTTTCAGAAGGCAATAGTGAGATGCTGATGACGGCTGCTTTTGAGGGAATTCAGTATCAGCTTTCCATATCTCTGAATGCGACTCTTGACCAACATGCTGTTAATAATTTATACAGCAATATCCCATAAATATCCATAATTGCTACAGCACAAGGTTGCAGTGAGCTCTAAAGATAATTGTGTATCAAGTCCCTGACACATTAGTGATATTTATGAAATAGTGATTACTATTGATGCTGTGAATTTGCTCCAACTCTGGACTCAGACAGCCTGGAGTTGAAGTTGTAGCCCTGGATTTGCGAGACTGAGTAACTCAGGTCAATTACAGGCCCTCAGTGTCCACATCTACAAATGGTAGGAGATGGTTCCAGCCTCTCACTGCTGTGAAGGTCGGCTGTGGTAATGCCGACAGTTATCACTTAGCCCTCTGCCCATCAGAGTGTACGATGGGCAGGCTCTGGTGTCACAATGACTGTTATTCTGGGGCCCTTACCATTATGCTAGTCCTGGATGTCTTGCTAATGTCCTCCACATCCTTTTCTCCCTTTTGAGACATGTACGCTTTTGAAGTTAAGAAGTCTATTTGGGAGAACTCCATTGGATTCCTTCCCTCTGGTCCTCGGCATGTCTACTGATTGCTTTTCATTCCCCTTAAGTTCTCTAGGTCACGGTCTTTGCCGTTACTCTAATTCAGCGCATCCGTGCTGCAGGCCTGTGATGCAGATGCGGGACGCTCAGTGACTTGGAAGCTCTTTGCCCAAGAACAGCCATACCCTTGATTATGGCCGTGATGCTTGAGTCACATCTGCGGTTGTGTTTTCCAGGAGTCCATTCCCTGCTCTGGGGCACTGTTAGTGTCGGTGGCAGGCCACCTACTTCTGCATTCTCTCAACAGCGCCCTTTCGGGTACCTGGTCTCCTCTCCTCTGCCGCCTGTCTGGTCTCTATCTGTTGCCCAAGGGCCCTTTCTTCCGCTGTGTTTCCTCCCTTTCTTTGTAGTTCCCCTTATTTCTGAAGCTGTTATAACATGATTTAAATTTTATACTATTTCTCACACTCCAGTTTCTAAAATAAGACTATGCTAAATGGCATGGCTAGCAGAAATATCTAAGTATATTGTTTATATACAAATACACAATGACTCTGTTTTTATAACCCAGAGATTGATGACCCCCCACCCCCATTTTGCTTTGTTTTTGCTGTTGCTTTACAGGCAGGGACTCGATTTTTAGATCAAGTGGACCTTGAACTTGTGGCCCCTCTGCCTCAGCTTCCCGGGCATGGGGATTACAAGTATGCACCACTATGCCCAGTTTAGTTGAGCTTTCAGAAGTTGTATTTGGCTTCAAATATGCCAGGAGAGTTAACTAGGTCCCATAGTAAACCCCTTTGTAAAAGAGGCTCGCTCACTATCTCTGCTGGTGCATAAAATCGCGAGAGTGTTGACGCATCCGGTTTATAAGCCACTTGGGAGTCTCTCTAGGAAGGGTTTATGAAGGTCAGGACTACAGACTCAAAAGTAAAACAAAAGGAAAGAACTTCCAGGTTTCTGGTCTGCTGGTCATAGTTTTTACAACGGCGATGTAGGTTTATGAACAGTGCTTAAGTCGAAGAGTGCTTGCCTAGCGTGTGTGAGGTCCTGGCGCGTGTGAGGTCCTGGCGTGTGAGGTCCTGGCGTGTGAGGTCCTGGCGTGTGAGGTCCTGGCGCGTGTGAGGTCCTGGCGCGTGTGAGGTCCTGGCGCGTGTGAGGTCCTAGCGTGTGTTGGCGCGTGTGAGGTCCTGGCGCGTGTGAGGTCCTGGCGCGTGTGAGGTCCTAGCGTGTGTTGGCGTGTGTGAGGTCCTGGCGTGTGTGAGGTCCTAGCATGTGTGAGGTCCTAGCATGTGTGAGGTCCTAGTGTGTGTTGGCGTGTGTGAGGTCCTGGCGCGTGTGAGGTCCTAGTGTGTGAGGTCCTAGTGTGTGTTGGCGTGTGTGAGGTCCTGGTGCGTGTGAGGTCCCGGCATGTATGAGGTCCTAGTGTGTGTTGGCGCGTGTGAGGTCCTGGCGCGTGTGAGGTCCTAGTGTGTGTTGGCGCATGTGAGGTCCTGGCGTGTGTCTCTAGCACCACCCACCACACACCCTGAAATGTATAGGTGAAAATATAGGTGACCTTGGGTTTGGTAAAGTATTTTTAAGCACAACATCAAAGCCGTAATTTATGAAATAAATAAATAATTAAAATTTAAAAAGTCTGCTTTCATATAGACGTTATAAAATGAGAAGACATTTGCAGAAAATGTCTGTAGAATGCATTTGTGACTAATGTGCTCTCTATATAGTTGTTGAAAGCATCAAAAATCTTCCAATAAGAAAGTGACAGCCTGACTAGCAAAAGAGCAGCAGACGCTGTGAATGTGAAGAAGACGTGGTCCTTCCTCACCAGGACAGCAATGACAGCAAGCACTGTGACAGCCACGCTGCAGCTGCCATGGAAACACCACCCCCAAATACACACATTCTGGATTTACTGGTATTACAATGGAAATGACATTTACCTTTAGTGGGCTTTAGTTAATGCCTCCCTCTGAGTTTCTTTGAAGCTAATGATAGTAAGTATAAAAGATTATACCTTAAGTTGGTTAGTTATTTATACACAGTATCATCTTGTGAAAAGCTGTTATTAAATAATAATTATCAGACAAATAAGTAATAAAGAGAAAAAAAGAGCAGAAGGCCTGTTGCCAACCTTATCTAAAGGACATACATATAGAAAATATTCACACAAAACTTTTATTAAACACTAGAAATTCACACTCTGTCACTCTAGTTTCAGAATGGCCATTATCCCAAACACTGGTAACACCAAACCCATGGGAGTGTGGAGTAACAGGAACTCCTTACTGGAGCGAGTACAAAGAAAATATCCTATTAGAAGATAGTATGGCCATTTCTTGTGAAACAAAACATATCCTTACCACAAAAATCCAGCAAATAAGTGCCTTGGTATTAACTAAAGTAATTCAAAGTTTATCCCTCCCCCCCAAAAAAACCTGCCCATAGATATTAATAGCAGCGTTACTTATAATTGCTGTAGGCTCACCTGTGCTAACAAATGTGCCACTCCAGGGTGGGGCGTACAGTGTGTGAGAGTTTACTTATTCATATATGTATGGGGCTTTAGTACACGGAGTCCCCAACGTCAGCTTCATCCCATATTTGCTGGGACCTTAAAATTGCCTTTAAAAGACCAGAGAGGAGACTCAGGGTTAAGAGCGCTTTCTGCTCTTGCAAGGAACCAACGTTTCATTCACAGAACCCATGCTAGGTGCATGTGTACAATATATCTTATATTCCGTATCTATGAACATGACTATTGACCACTGATTGCAATGGGAATTATAAAAAAAAAAGTGGCTGGAGCCAGGTGTTGGTGGTGCATGCCTTTAATCCCAGCACTCCGGAGGCAGAGGCAGGCGGATCTCTGTGAGTTCGAGGCCAGCCTGGTCATCGAGTTCTAGGATAGGCTCCAAAACAATACAGAGAAACCCTGTCTCGAAAAACCAAAAAAAAAAAAAAAAAAAAAAAAAAAGAAAAGAAAAGAAAAGTCTAAAATGTTTAAAAAGCAATAGGGTCTAACTTCAGGCCCATTTTGAGATCCTGATGTGCAAACTCCAGGTCCCTTGACCTGTTTGTTAGGAAGTTTTTCCACAATGCTTATCTCAAAAGTTGGAGGTGCCTTCCATTCAATTCTACTTTTCCTAAGAACACATCATAAGCCCAAATGGTTTCATTCAGGAAGAACATTGCAGAATTTATGCCATCTAATAATGAATCTAATATGAAATAGTTTATGACTGTCATATACTACTTGTCATGACTAATATTCATGAAAACAGATGTATTTAGAGATGTGTTTGAACATTCTACATTAGACCAAAGCTTCTTAAACATATGGGATCATATAACTAGTGTGGGGACCAAAAAAATTTGCAACAGTGGAAGGTTCCTGACCATGCAATACCCCCAAATTACTTGAAAATCAAAAGCACAATTAACCTGAGGTGTTTCTGAAGTACTTGTCTCTGTGGGCTCGTGGGGGTTACTGCAGCTCTTGCTCTGAAAGTACATTGTGTGCCCTCTGCACTGAGACCACGTAACACATTGTGTGCCCTCTGCACTGAGACCACGTAACACATTGTGTGCCCTCTGCACTGAGACCACATAACACATTGGCTCACCTTGAGTCTGCTATATGCGATTCCAAAAGCAAAGTTCTTGGCTCTTAGAGAAACAATGGTTTAATTATGGAAAAACCAAGACTTTTATATTTTCCTACTTTTATTCATTAGAATGTATAAAGTTAGTTTATCTTTGTATTGTATTATGTTAGAATGTTTGATTTATTTAAAAAGAAATCTAGAGTTTCTAAGTCAAATTCATTTAATTAATTTTGGCTCAGGTTTAGAACCAAGTTTCCAACAATTTCTGAAATGGCCCTAAATACATTTCTGCCATTTTGTACTATATATTTATGTAAAAAGCAGTGTCCTCAGAATTGATGACATAAAACCAAATACCAATCAACTCTGAAAAAAATAAAGATACTTTGTGTCCTTGTAAGATGAAATATTAGGTCAATATAAAACAAGCACAAGTTTGTCCTGTGGGGTAGGCTTGTAAGTCCAGCTGCTTGGGAGACTGAGGCAGGGAGATCACAGAGATTTCCTTTGAGTGCAGAATGAATTCAAGGCAACTTAGTGAGACCTTGACTCAAAAAGTAAAAGATCTCAATGGCAGAGTGCCTGCCTCTCACACATGAGGCCCTGAATTTAACACCTGGTACCACGACAAATAACTAACAAATACATAAGCACATCTAATTTTGTAGGTAGAGCTTCTTTTGGCTTCAATAAATGATAAAGTTATATGCATACCAAATAATTGTTTAAAATACATTCCTCTATGAGTCACTATAAATAATAACTGTTTGATGTGTATGCCATTATTATGCCCTGGACCTCAGATGGAAAGGGGTCAGGAGGTTTGTCTCAGAAGCCCTGTGTGAGGCAACGAAAACAGAAGAGCTAGAACTCAAAACGCCTGTTCCATGACAACGTCAGGTTGTCTAATGCTGTATTTTGCTACCGTTTGCACGTTTATTTGTATTTTAGTGACATTATTCAGAGTGTAACTGCATGAAAATGGTAGCCCAGGGACAGAAGAGTGAGAAACGGAAGAGGGAATGGAAGGATTTTATCTTTATTTTCAGTGATTTCAAAGAACTCTTAGGAAATGATTTCGGGCTTCCTCCTGAAGGGCTGAAAGGTCTTCAGGTTTCCCAGCCCTCTCGTTAGACCGAGCCTCCCTTCGCCTTCCAGCAGCACGCACGTGAGTCAGTGCAGGTGCCCAAGCCAGCGCGCTGAAACTGAGGAGCCTCACTCTCCCCGCGTTCTCGCAGCTTATCAGTGACACCCAGAGAGGGCTATTTCTAGTTCATCAAGCACCGAGTTAGGCCCTCGTTTCATCAGTTATTTGGTGTCAAGGGGACATTTACTTCTGTCCACTCATCTATAGGGCAGCAGAGTTCTCTGGCTGTTGTGAGGGTATGCACCGCACAGGGACTGAAAGGGAGCTAGAATTCCGTGTGAGTGGTGGCCTCTATGAACGGACAAACGAATAAATGATGAGAGAACCGTACGGTCTGTCATGTAGGAGGGCACCAGGACAGCGCTTAGAACCTTTTTATGGAAAATAATAAAGCGAATCATCAGCTCTAGCTCATGGATACTCTGAAGTATAGGCCAAAAACCGATGAGCCATTCAAGCACCCAAAAGGGAGCTTATGTATCCCTGCAATAACGGTGCAAGACGCAAATCACCTTGTCTCTGCTAACTTTGAAATACCATGAACAGTATGTCACATGACGCAGCTCACAGATGGATGACGTCACAGCACCACAGATGGATGACGTCATAGCAGCGGCAGCTAGAATGTGGTCACCTTCTGAAGCACATAAGCAGCAGGGGGGTAGGTGACCTCACAGACTAGCACAAGACCACACAGTTCCGGAGAATTCCAAGGCCTCACAGGTCACAACGTGTCTAGTCCAATATTTCTCAAAGTAGTCAAGTATTTGCTGAAGCAAGTGGCTGTCATGGCCCCAGGGATGACACTCGGAAAAGGACACGGCATTTACATAGGATTCCAGACAAAATCACACAACCAAAATCTAGTCACAAGACATCAGCCAAACCTGCACTAAGGGATGGGCTATAAAAGAATGGCTTGTATTCTTGTATTTTTTCTTTTTTGAGACAGGGTTTCTCTATGTAACAGTCCTGGCTGACCTGTAATTCGCTCTGTAGGCCAGGAACTCAGAAATCTGCCTGTCTCTGCCTACTGAGCGCTGGGATTAAAGGTGTGTGCTACCACTGCCCATGGTATTCTCTTTTTATAAAAATGCTAATGTCATGAAAGGGACAAAGATAGGTTGAGGCACTGTTCCAGAATGCAGGAGACAAAAGGATGTCACTCTCTGAAGACAGCTCGTGCACCTGGGCTGGACCCCGTTGGGGAGGAGAGGTGCTACAAAGGCATTGTTGAATCTGCTGATAATTACGTATTGTGCGGACATAAAAGTACCGTTTCAATGTTAAACTTCCTGAATAACTTAACAGTAGTCATTCAGGGAGATTATCCTTATTCTTAGGGAACACCAAAGTTTTTAAGGTATAGAGATATGATGTACAATATATTCTCAAATTATACAGAAAAATACTTTGAGACAGAAAAAGAAACGGATAAAGTAATAATTAATACCCCTAATTTGTACTTCTTTTGTAATTTTTCTAGAATGTGATATTATATAAAAATGAAAGCACTCACTATTGAATAAGAAATTCTATCTGGGAAGGGCCTGTGGGCGGGTGATTCAGTGGTGGAGTGCCTGACTAGCATGCACAAGACCTGGGTTCAATACTCAGCACAGCAAAAACCTGGGGAAAAGTCTAGGAGCTTTCATTAAAAATATATCCCTGGCTAGGTGGCCACGCCTTTAATCCCAGCACTCGGGAGGCAGAGGCAGGCGGATCTCTGTGAGTTCAAGGCCAGCCTGGTCTACAGAGCTAATTCCAGGACAGCCAGGGCTACACAGAGAGACCCTGTCTCAAAAAACAACCACAACACTCTCTCTCTCTCTCTCTCTCTCTCTCTCTCTCTCTCTCTCTCTCTCTCTCTCTCTCTCTCTCACACACACACACACACACAGTGGAATGGACTTGAAACTATGCTTACACTTTATTTTAGCGGCTTATACGTCTTCTTAGTAAAGTGACTGCTTTGAAGTCCACCATGACTGGTTAAAATGCATCTTGTAGTTAATGATATTTACTTATTCAGTTCTCACAATAATTTCTGTGATCATGTACTCCTTACAGGAAATATGGGAACAGGAAGATCTAAAAAACCAGCCAACTCCTAGTGAATAAAGGCCACAGCAAGGGCAGGAATTCGAGGACAGACTGACTCTTGGGCCTCTTGGGCTAGAGGACACTGACCCTCTCTAGGAAGCTGTGTGCTGACATCACTGGCTTTGGTTATCATAAACTGCCATGCTGCTTAGCTCATACAATCCATCTTGAGATACGCATTAAGGAAGGAGGTAATTGAGCAGCTGATCCAATGTGCACTGTGATAAGGGGTGGGGTCCCCCTGCTAATCCTTACCCTGGTTACAGAGCCTTGGATCTGTGATGAAGAGAAGGCCACCATCTGTCTTTCCCTCCTGAGCTCTACTGTGATTTTGCTTGTTTTTATGTTTATTTTTATGTGCACGAGTATGTGTCTTGAAAGCATGTCTGTGCACCATGAACATGCCTGGTGCCTGTAGCAGCTAGAATAGGGTGCTGGATCCCGGGCACTGGACTGACAGATGGCTGTGAGCCTCCATCTGGATGCCGCATAGAGCCTCTGCAAGAGCAGCCAGCGCCCTCGACCGCAGAGCTCGCCCTCCAGCCCCTCGACTGCAATTTCCCCATCACAGACCTCTTGATCCCCTTCAGCTTGCAGGATCAAGCTGGGTGAGGTCTGGATGCACTTTCACCCAAGACAGCCCTACCCTGGGCACCAGAGGGTCACCTCTCGGAGGTGGAAGCCAAAGTGTTTTAAATGAGGAAAAGAACTGTCCCTGATAAAAACAAGGAAATTACTTGACTGCAGCTAAGGCACTGCCTTAGGGC